AGGTAGTTCAAGCATGTAAAACTATGATAGATTATTCTTGCCTATTGATATCATGAATTTCTTGAAGATAATGTAGCAATTTTGTCTTGTTACATATCATGGCCACTTACATATGTTGTTTCCCCAAGTTAATCACAATCTAGCATGTTTATATGGTAGGTAGTGGATTCACTTCCCTAACCCTCTTTACATAAATCTTTCTCCTTTAAATTCCTTGCATTTATTGTTTTATGCACATTTTAATTCCAAAGTACCAAGTGACAAACAAAACCCAACTTTACACCTCTTTCATCAAACTAAAAGTGATTTTAAAGACCTTGATTGCCATAAACTAGCAGTCCATGTGGTTCGACTTACCCCTATGATAGCCCTATTTTATAATAATTTGTGCTATTGCAAGGGTTGATAATAATTGGTTGATATAATTGACGCCAACCACCTACCTCAATAGAGAATTAAATCTCTATAATCTAAAGCAACCAAGCTTAAAATGGAGAACTAAACTAAGGTTTTGTAGGGAAGAGTGAGAGGAAACTTTTACTTTCCAAGGTTTAAAGTCTAAGTCGAGTGGAAGGGGGCCAAAATGAAGTGTAAAGCTCTAAGCCAATGTTTTTCTTCAATGGTGGCTAGGTTAGGCTTTTGAGAATAATAAGAGTGAGAGGATGAAATGAAATGAGGTGAGTGGAGGATTTGGTATTCCTCTACTCACTATGTGTTCTTACACCATGGTCTTCACACACACTAAGTGCAAGACTAAATTTGGAATCTATATTTGTCACTAATCCATGGCTCCTTTCTAGGCTTAATCCTAAGCCTACACTTGTCAACCATCCAAGCCAACAAGTGCACCTATCCTAGGTCAACAAATGGGTGAATTTCCACTCTCCATATGTCACAAGATTAAGCTTCCAAGTCTTTCCACCCCAATGCCAACAAGTGGCTTCATGAGAGTGACACTTGTCATACTTTTCAAAAATTGCAAAAAGGTCCATTTCTAAAATATCTTCTAAATTAAATTGCAAAATGGTCCCTAAGATGAAAAATAATTACTTTGCATAATTACACTAAAACCTAAAAAATCAAGAATGTTCTCAAGAAACTATGCATCCATGCCCTTTTTGAAAAAAGTAAATAACTAGAATGCTTTCCTATGAAAGTAAAAATACAAATATCTTGGAAATTAAATACTATGGATGCATGCAAAGTTGGAATCAAATCCAAGTACAAAAAGTGAGGTTAAGCAAAAAAAAAAAAAGAACAGGAAAAAGACGAAATAGGGAAAAGGACGAAAAAAATAAAGAAATTACCGAAAAAAAGAAAGGAATGAAAATGACTGGGTCATTACAATATATAACTTCATAAACCTATTATCAGTTCAATTGATATGTTATGGAAAATGAGCTTCACATTACTAGAAGCTTGTCATATATATACCTTTTTTTTCTTTTTTTTCCCTGGAAAAGCCAAATGGCACTTACAGAAAATAACAACACAACAACCACTAACTGATCCAAAAGGAAGCGTAAGGAATACGATGTATAAGCCTGACCACATAAAACAAAACATAGTTTACAATCTTAATATTCACATAACCCACCTTTTGACACAAGGCGTGGCTCTTTCTAGGCTTATACCCAAACTGCAACATCAGCCACACCAAGGCAAATACATGTTCCAAAATCTATTGGGAGCTTCGTGTCGTGACTTTGTCGCCACAAACAACTAGCCCTAGACTTGACTTTGACGCCCTCTATTGGCCCAACACAGTACAATGCGAATCACGAGGACATCGAATGGTCACCTGAATCGGAATCACAAATCTTAGCCAATTTTTTGGTAAACCGTTATCTGGAATATGAATTCCATGGGCACAAACTTGGGAATTCTTGAGCAACTTATCCGATCCACTACCCAAATCAGCACAATCATAGCCATGAATTCTTAGGAAGTCTTGCCCTCTTGTTCCAGCAACATCCAGTCATGACTCATAGTCGATGGCAGCCGAAGGAGGCAGAACTAACATGAGCATAAAACCCACTTACCGGAGGAAGCAAGGAAACGCCGGTGTCCAGAGAGACCCTCCGCCAAGCACAAAAAATATAAAAGATTGCAGGCAAGGAGAGGTTGCCTTCCGTAGGACGAGGACCAACGAATTCCATCCAGTGGCCGAAATCCATGGCCACGAAATTAGGCACATCGTTATCGATACGCAGATGGAGAAGGAAAGAGGAAGGCCAACAAAGAGACCAAAAAACAAAACACCACAAATAGAGATTTAGTACATAAAAGACAACCAATAAAACTGTAAAAATACTTGGATCAAAAGGAAAAAGCGACAAGGATGGGCCAATAATCCGTCTAGCAATCAAAGCACTTGATTGAACCACAAACTGCTCACTGGATCCCCTCCGGCTAAAAAACACACAAGATCGACGAATTAAAGAAAGTTTAGAAGCCCACCCACAGAGATGCGCCCATGGAAACAACTCCATCTCTGATAAACAGAGAAAAACAAATAACCTCGATGTAGCGCGGAATAACCCAATCATAAGATTAAAACCCTCCGATGTGTGAGATGTTGGCGGTGGCGGCTAAGGGGAAAACTCTCATGAGGGAGAGTTTGGCTTTTAGTATTTTTGTTGGTGGCCGTGATTAGTAGATACAGTGCTAGTAAAATAGTGGCCAAAAATTGAAACAGTAATTTAATATTTTTACATATTTTCACATTCTACCAATGGGGTACTGTAGCAATGAATAATATTATTATTATTATTATTTTTTGGATAAAAACTCTTAAATAACCTCTTAAAACTAGTCATTTTGTTTTTTAAACTGGAAACATTTTTTTAACAAACGTGTTTTTATATTTTTGCTTCCAAAAATTTTGCAACAAATCTCCAAAAATTTTTCCGAATACTATTCCAAACATTATATAACAAAATACTTATTTTATTTTGAGTTAAAACCAAAACGCAACCCAAAAATAAAACGTGTACCAACAGGTCCTAATTAATAAGTAATGAATCAAAGCAAATGTTGGGTTCAATCTTATTTTTTAGAATTAAAATTTTTTTTAAAAAAATACTTAATTAATTTTAGTTAGGTGAATTGCAAAAAAACCCCTTTTGACTATCACTCACTTGCAAAAAAAAAAAAAAAAAAAAAAAAACCCCTTATCTATATGTTTAACAAGAAACCCCACTCAATTATACTGAGGAGATATTTTAACCTAACTTCGTCTCTATTTATTTTTTTGGACGAAATTACCCACGTCCTTCTCTCTCTACTCTTTGTAAAACTCAGCTCCTTCCACCACCGTGTCTTCTTCTTCAACCACCATTACCTCCAACTTCCTTATACGACCTTAGGTTCACAATTTTTTTGCAATTACATCAACAAATAGTTTTATTACTTTTAATTTGAAAAAAACAAACAGTACTGACGGCAATGAGCTTCTCGGTCGTGATAGAGCGATGGTGAGCTCGGCTTTAATGATGTCGGCTGTGATGGAGGCGACGGTGAGCTTAGCTTTGATGGAGCAACAGTAGAGAGGACGGACGGTAGTGAGAAGACGGGTTTGGATGTGGAGAGCTCGACCATGGATGACTCGGCGGCGAGCTCGACCGGTGGAATTGGCGGCCGACGAGCAAGGGAGGGCTCGGTGATGCAGCGGGGGTGACAATAGATAGCTCGGCCGTGGGCGAAGGGTTGTGGAGAGCGGTGGGCGACGATAGACGGCTCGGTGATGTAGCGGCGGTGATGGCAGACAGCTCGGAGTCCAAACATCTTCTTCTTGGAATTCCTCATTCCTCTTTGATTGGCTGTACAAATCATACCTTCCTTCCATTGATTATTCCCTTCAAAACCCATAAATCAAATCAGTTAAAAATGCCATGTATTGGATCAAATTCGAATATATATATATATATATAGAGAGAGAGAGAGAGAGAGAGAGAGATCTACCTTTGTTTGGACTGAAAAGCGTTAAATGTTCAGCTATCCTAGATGAATACTGAAATGGGTATCTGTAAGATATGAAGTTGGAATCTTAATATGATGAGACAAATGGTTTTGAGATGGATTGAAGAGAGATGTACACTAAACTGAAAAAAAATAAAAATAAAAAAAAATACACAATCTCTTACATATGTATATGAAATTGTTTGAAAGGGCTTCCACGATCAAGATGTTGGTGGGGCGCCTGTTGCGGAAGAGGGTAATTTTGGCTAAAAAATTGCTTCAATAGATCAATAAGACAGAGTTAGGTTAAAATACCCCCCTCAATATAGTTGAGGGGTTTTCTTGCTAAAATACAGATAATGATTTTTATTTTATTTTATTTTTTATTATTATTATTATTTTTTTTTACAAATGAGTGATAGTCAAGGGAGGTCTTTTGCAATTCTCCCATTTTAATTTGAAATGGTTGATTAGTGACCTTAAATATGGCTAAAGTGTAATTTGACACTAATTAATACAACTATGTCCAATCTTATTTACTTCTCGCAAGAATGTTGAATCTTAATGGCTAAAGTGTAATTTGACGCTAGTTAATTAATATAACTATGTTCCAATCCAGTCACCTTGTTCAACTACCTTAAAAGTAAAAAAATAAGTTATCTTCAGTCACATAATACTAATACCTCTAACAACCGTTAAACATAAATTCAAAACAAATTTAAAGCACTAATTTCATCAAAGTATAATAAAACCCATTATAGGTGCTAAATGCACCGGTTGATAAATCCCAAAGTTAGAAACTTGAACCTTGGCGTTTACATCATTTAAAGAGCAAAGGAAATGATATAAAAGAACCTTTTCTGAAGGTTCTTGTTGTGTGCCAAAAAAATAAAAATAAAATAATAATAATAATAATAATAATAATAGCAATTTTAATTTTTAATTCATTTTAGCGTTTTTAAAAATTTTATTTATTTTTGCTGTGACAAGAAATACATTCATCTACATTTGCCCTAATGAGTAATTCTGGTGTGTGGTATTGCTATGGTAGGAATTCGTAGGTAACAAATCAAAGTTGTCAAAGATGTTGCTTGGAGGCGAGAAGGAAAACGCCGATCTCAGTCTTCCTTCCTCTATTGCACCACCGGTTCCATCCGCATTTCCTCCTCCACCACCTACACCTCCCCCGATTTGCCATGGTACAATGAGGGTCAGTGTCAAAGCTTGTCTTCATCAGTACCATGTTGGTTGTAGGGAGAGTTTGGTTCGTTTTGGAGCATGTTGCAAGTGCGCTTTGAGATTGGGGCCCAAGGCTATCAACATCCCTCATAGGGGTGAGAATCCAGGTTAGTACTATTACTGTTCTTCAATTTCATTTCAGTGCAATATATGTATTTTAAGGATCATTCCATTTTTACTTTTAATGATTGTTTTGCTTGTGTTGTTTGTAGAGTTCTCCAGTGATTCATCCTCGGGAGAGTCGGGCGGTTCTGGCGAGGAAGATGCTTTGGACATGATGGATCTATAGGTAATTTCTCTTACTATGTTAGAAGTATATTAACAGGTAAAACTGAATAGCATCTTCTTTTGATATTTTCTAAATCTAAAATTAGATGATAGTTCTATGAATAAGAATCGTAATTAGGTTTGGCTTTCACTTGAAGGCTTGATTGGGATAATCTGAGCTATGAGCTCAAGGGTAATCACACTTTATAAATGATTTATATTGATAAATTCAGTGTTACGAAGTTCATGGACCGGGAAGGTGCCAATTGTTCGTGTGATTTGGTGTTTTCATAGCTATTAAGAATCTTAGTTGTTGCACTGTTTTCCATGATCGAAGAGCAGGGGATTTTGTGGCATTTCTAATTGGTTGTCTTGTATTTGTAGTAAGTCGTTTAATGGTTAGGGTTGACAAGGAAATGCTGTTTTTGATTTCATCTTTCTATCATTTGCCTCTTTGCTTTGCATCTATCTGGATGATTAAGGGGTATACCAAAAGAGGCTCTAAATCTGACTCTATTTTTGCAAGCCGAACTGAGGTAAAATGTTGTGTAATAACGATTGCCCCCAAGAAACTTGATTCTTCCATTAAGAATAATGCACAAATAAGCAAGACGAAGAAACAGGGGAAGAATAATTGTCTACTTCTAATGTCACTCCTTTTCTCTTATTTTGGTTGAAGGGAAGGGTGACTTTTCAAGGCTATGAAATGATTGAAACCCGGGCTTGTGCTTGTAAGGGTATAGTTTTAGAGTAATGGGCTCATGACTGGTCTATGGACTAGATTTTCATGCACAAACAGGGGTTCAGTCAAATAGGAAGCTAGTTCGTAAGTGCAGGGCAAGGTTCTTCTCTAACAACAAGCAAGAGCCTCGTTTTCTCTTTCCATTCCAAAGAGGAGATTCTGTTGTTGTTCCGTAAATCAAGCTATGAATTTCCATCACAACTAGGTCCATCTCTTAGGTTGCCTGAAGTGAGAATGATGTCGCTCTTAGATGTGAAGTTTCCTCCCTTAGTTGAGCTTGAAAAAGAAAAAAGCCCGATTGCCTAATGAATTCGTTGACCGCGGCTATGGTGGGTACCGCCTTCCCCCATTGCCTAATCCACTACCTCAGGCGATCGCCCCGGCACCTCGCCGTTAGGCTTTTAGAGTCAAGAATTCCAGTGGCTTGACCAGTAAACAATGGCGAAAAGGTACTCAGTAGATCCAAATGTTCCGGTTTTTAACTTTTGTCTTTCTACTAGAATGATTTAGGAACACGGGGTATGTTGAATCGCATGGGGCTGGTTTAGATCGATCCTAACCAAGTGACGGAAAATTCTAGGCAAAATTTTTTTAAGTAATATTTTATATATATATTTGTTTGGGCTGAAATTTAATTGTTCGGCTATAACTTCTGCAAGAATGTTAGGGTTTCCATAAGGTTTTGCAATTGTAGCGATAGCAATGTTAAGTTTTCCGTTCGCACAATTAAATTCTTTTTGTAGATTCATCTGTAATTCTTCGATTCCTCATGACCGGCTTTCTATTCTTGAGCTTCTCTGCCACATTCTTTACGTGCACACTTCATTTATTAAAGCAGTATGTCTAAAAGGGGAGTTGATTTCAATTGGGGAAGTTGAGGTGATAGGCTACGTGGGGCAGTCATCTTGGGTTGTATTAAGGGAGTTATTTTGACATCTTACTTGATCTTCATTTAGATTATTACTATTAAACGAAGCGGTTTGGGCTCTTTTAATTTAAACCAAAATAATTGGATATGCAATGGTGGAGAGATGTGAGAGAGGAGGTTGGAGGAATGGAAAACAAGGTTGTTAAAATCTAGAATTGCACGATTTTACGATCTTCGATCCCAAAAACAAGTTGAATCATATGAAAACAGTTCGTTTGGGTAGAATCGTACGATTATACTGTTCACCACCTTTTTTTTTCTTTCTTTTTTTTCTTTTTTGCGTATTTGATAAATTGATTTCTTAACAGTTTTGATATGCATTATGGGTATTTGATGAATTTATTTTTTTGTTATTGGTTCGTGGTTTTTGAGATTTAAATTTTTATTTTTGCTCTGCTTCTGTCCGAACTGCTGTACAATTTTTTTTGTTCTGCTTCTGTTCTGACTTCTGTTTAATTGTTTTTTGGTTCTGGTTCTGTTCCATAAAATTTTGTTCAGCTTCTGTGCAAAAATATTTTGCTGTTTTGACTTCTGAGTTTTGGAGAATTGAGATTGTTCAATTTTTTTGATGTTCTAACTTCCGTACTTTTATTTTTAAATATTTTTACTAAGTTTCAAAATTTAAATTTCTACTCTGAGCCTTTCAGAATTGAGATTGTTCATTTTTTTTTTTTTTTTTTTTTTTTTTTTTTTTTTTTTTGTTGATCTAACTTCTATACTTCTATTTTTAAAAATTTTCCAAAGTTTATCAGTTTATGACATTATGTTATGTTCTTAAATTTTAACTTTCTACTTTGTGTTCTGAGAGCTCTACCTTTTGTGTTCTCTTTTTTTAAAAAAATTGATGTTTGGATGGTCTTTTAATTGTATAAACGAAGCAAGATATTTGGAAACTGCAAAAATGTTGTGAGAATGTATTCAATTTTCTAAATGTCTATTAGATATTTCAAGTATATTTGGTTTTGTTATTTCTTGTCATAAGGAATTCTCAAAATGTGCATCGTCGAATGCTGTTTTCTCTTTTGGTATCCAGGATTTTCCCCCTGTAAAATCTTTTGGTACACTGTATACAAGATGGTAATATTTTTGGTCAGATGTTTCAATTTTATTTAATTTTGTTATTTCTTATTATGATAGATTATCAAAGTGGGGGTCAAGTTACACAAGTGTTTTTTTTGTTTTCAATGCATGGACAGGTTCAGATGAAAGATGGATGATGCATGGTGATTCTGGATTAGGTTTACTTTCGGTTCTGTTTTCTTGGAAAACACATGACTTTTTGTAAAAAGGAAAAAGGCAAGAAAATATTAATATGCATACATATCATATGGTAGACATGACTGTTAGTTAAAAGTTGATGAATCATGCAAAGTCATTGGCATGTTAAAAATTAAGTCTCAAACTATGTTGATGATACTTGGAATCATATTGCCAAGTGGAAGGGGGAAAAATGCTGAGCAAAACCTATTGTTGTTGTTGTTGTTGTTTCTTTTCTGCACTTGTGGTTTTTTTTTTTTTGTTAACTATTTCTTTGCTGGAATGCAGCCTTGTTTGGCTCAATGACTGTGTGTTGCTTGGGATCAATGACATGCATTTATATGTTGATATAATTATAGCAAGACATGCATTTATCGTACACTCATCATAGTTGAACAACTGCCCACCAAATGCTATATAAAAGTGCCTTCTTAAATGCTTTTATTTCTTTGTTCAAGTGTTGTTGATATATTTTTGTTTGTGTATATATAATGTGTGTACACTATACGTATGATACTCCAGTACCTACTCCCTCCGTCTCAAATTAAAAGTCCCCTTCAGGAACTATAACTCGAGTTCTCGAAGGAATTTGATTATTTTTTTTTATTTTATTATTATTTTTTTCACAAGTATTAGCAGAATCAAGCCTACCTCTCAAACTTTTTTACGTTTTTATTTTCGAGCAAATTACACAGAAGGTGACTCAAACAAGGACACACCCGCTTAGGAGAGCACCAGCACAGAAATACGCTTTACTAACTAGGCCACCAAATAATATAATACTAGTAATATTAAAATCACAAGCACGAATACACACACATATATAAAAAAAGTAACAGAACAAAATTACCAACTCTATATCTTCTCAATCAAATAGAAAATTCGAAAGTAAGCCCAAAACATACATCTAGATGCTTATTTTAAAACAATAATGATCACTTACCAGACGGAGTCAAAAGAAGACGAAAAAAGTGTCATTATCATAAATTATAAATATTATTAAATTATTATTATTATTATCATTTTTATTATTATATATTTTACCATTATTATTTTTATTTAAATTTTGTATGGATGATACAAAAGAGTCACAAGTTGAAAACTATATAAAAAGTTCTATATTTTGACACGAATTGCTTGGAAAAGAAATCCTCTAAACTAACACTTCGAACTACATAAATCCACCATAGAGAGGTATTTCTCAGTGCCACATACATCGGTGACATCCAACCTGTGACTTAACAACGCAAATTTGTAACATGTAGCATGCAGATTTGACCATCAACAAAAGAGGATAAAAGATGGCATCTGTTAAACCAAAACAACACTGCTGCATTTACCCATGAGCTCCTTTGAATTTGTAGATGGTTCCATGCAGACTTGATCATCGCCGAAAGAGGATAAAAGCCCACATCTGCTAACGAAAACAACACTGCTGCAATTACCAATGAGCTCCTTTGAATTTGTGGATGGTTGCACGCACACTTGATCATCACTGAAAGAGGATAAAAACCTGCCTCTGTTAACCAAAACAATATTGCTGCGTTTACCAATGAGCTCCTTTGAGAGATGGGACACTGCAAACCGTGCGGTCCATGGCCACTTCTTAGAAAACTATAACGGCAAGAGTAGAAAATTTCAGAATCCATGAAATAATAATATAAGATGTCCAACCCAGAAAATGGTTATTCACACGAATACTTACTGAACGACTAGTGTAGTTAAACAGACAAAATAATGCTTCGAAAAATGCAGTGTTCTCCTTCCAGATGACGCCCAACCCTCATTGATAACCTCGAAAATTCTTTAAGTTGCTTCTCAGCAAAGGGATTATATATGAGAGTCTCATCTACCCGATTCAGCAACTCAGTTCTGAAAGGCCTTCCATCCTGTAAAATAACCACAACCAATCCACTACTGACCAAAGAGTAACTTAAAATAAACCATGATCAAATAAAATAAAATTAAATTAAAAAGGAGAAAAAATAATATCTTCCTTCTTTTTTTTGGTGCAAGGGTAAGTATTATAAACAGAAAGGGAACTGTACAGAAGCTCTCAAATAGAGAAACCAGGCCTATGGGCCAGCGGGCTGAAATCAGCCAAACAAACAGAAGCCCAAAACAAAATAATTAAAGGCACTAATAGAACCTAAAGGAGTTTAACCAACTTACGCATCAGATCATTAAGGAAATGCAAAGACAAAATAGCAGAAACGATTTAAATTGCAATTTCCAATTAGTCACCTGTTTCATGCGGCCTCTCGGAACACTACCACCATAAGCATGTCCTGCAAGGCGTGATAAAATTGGTCTGTTTCCCAAATCTGAAATAATGGCTACAACAGTGTCCCTGAAATCGATCTTTCTTCCTCGACTGTCTTCCACAGTACTGTGGTCAAGCATTGAAAGTATAGTGCTGAATACAGACATGTGAGCCTTTTCAATCTGATCAATAAGGATAATGCATCCTTGTTTCACCCTAACAGCTTCTTGAAGCCCCAAACCATGTTGCTCATGGCTATCATGCCTGAATGTCACAAAGCAATCGGCCATCATACATCAAAGATGACAACACCAACAAATACGTGGTTAAAAACTTATTGAGAAACATATATTAGCATCATGCATCACAAATACCAGAGTGCTCCATCCATAAGCTGCAAAAATGAGTCAGATTCTTGGTGTTCTTCCGCATTGATTAGAATCACAGATGTCACCCCATCGGCTGCACAAAGCTCAGCAAGACCTTTTAGAAGATCTGCCTTACCAGCACTTGTAAGACCTAATATTAGAAATGACTTGGCAGGATAATGGAGCGTATCATGAGGTCCATGAATGGTCCTCAATAAAGCCTCTGCCACAACATCAACTGCTTGATAGATCCCATCAAGATTAATGTCCAGTACTTTTTGAAGACCATCCACCTCATTCCTAGCCCTCTCAGACGCCAACTCCCACTGCCTAACCTCTGCCTCCTGATTTAAGAAGCTCACTGATGTCTATAAAAGGAAATGAGAAAGATAAATGATATTAAAAATCAATTAAATCCATAATTATAGATCTTTTACTTGAGAAACTATAATAGAACAAGAGGGATGAATGAAGAGTAGAAATTGAAATACCAGTCTATAGTTTTTGCACGTAAAGTTGACGTCTGAATTTGCTCAATATCATCCACTGTATCAACCAAATCTTGAACCCCCTCCACGACATGGACCAAATCTTCACCAGAATCCATAGTTATCAATTCAAAATACTTTCTTTTTAAAGTGTATATCTTGCAGGCACGTTCTTTCTCTTTCTTATATATCATTCTCAACTCATTCAAAGATTCTTTGAAGTGCATGAAAATGAAAAAATTCACTGGACTTTTCTCCATTCTGTAACATAGTTCATCTGTTCCCACTAGGGTATCAATGTAAATGGTGGTAATACCATCACTTGTCTTATTCTCTGCAAGTAGATTAAACACCACAGGGACCACATTCTCCTTTAGCCACATCTTCATACCCTCTCTACGTGCCTGTATATATATATACACATATAAATATCTATAGGCAAGTGAAACTGTTGAATGATATACACATATAAATATGTATAAGCAAGTGAAACTGTTGAATGATAGTTTTATAAAGGAAAACCCTAATAGTCATAACGGTCATACGATTGACTTTGCAGTTTGCATGGCATTACAGGGTAGGGCGATTTTTAGTACTCAAAATTGTGCAGGCCAAGAAAAATGAATGATAATAAGGGTAAACAGCAAAAGACCACTGAACTTTCCGACTTTTAAAATTGCCCCCTGTAGAATAAAGAGCACCCCAAACTTGCAAAAGTTGCCCCCGGAGGTTTTCGTAAAGTTCAAGATGGTTTCTTGCAAAAACATTAGCACGGGGGTAATATGTAAAGAAGTGAAAATTAAGGGGGCGGGGGGGTGTTTACAGTCTACCCAAAGATTAATTGAAAAGATAAGCTGAAGCAAATTAGATTTCTTAAAACTAATTCCTTTTTTCAACAAACCTGATAAAATACAGAAATATTTAAAAAGTAGAAGAAAAAAGTATAGAAGATCATTTAATCATAACCCCATTCATTGAGTATGCTAGGCAAGACAAACTAGGAATAAGCCTATCTTTTTACCGTATTTGCAGAAAGTGGTTGCCCTCAAACTCAACCAAGGGCCAGCATTAGAATTATTCATAAATCATCATAGACTGAAAAAAAACTCACAACTGATTAAAATTTGGGTAATGTTTCACCATGGCTAAGTTTATTTACAATGAAATAGTTCACTATACCCTTGGGCACAAAGTGGATGTGTGAAGTTCAACTCAGGAAAAAAGAAGTTGATTATACCCTTAACTGCAACAAATTAGCCAATTCTCCTACAAGATTAATAATTTATAAAAGAGAAGAAGGATAAAGGGGAGAAGAATATGGCAAAATAGAGGTGGACACTTGTAAACGGAAAGATCATAACAAAGGAAAATCACAGCCATTAGAACACTTAGTAGCTAGAAGATCTAAGTTTATCTACTTATTCTTACTTTCCAGTCCTAGTGGTCACTTTCCTAGAATGTCATCTTGCAATTAGTTCAGCATTATATAAATACTCATCACCTTATTGGACTGCCCATAATGATAGGGCACCTTTTAAACCTTAATAGTGAACCTTCTAAATAAGGTAACAATGAAATTTCAAATTGAAAAAAAAAAAAAAACATGGATTTACTTATATAGCTATAAATTTTCTAAATACAGGCTACTGATATGGGCTAGTTTAGAATGATTAAATCAAGACATTCTTTTGTGATGATGGAGATAATTACAATTTCAAGAATGCAAGCAAAGACAATGGCCTAAACATGCAAGTCACATGATGACCTAGGAGCCATAAAATCTATCATACTACTATGACGTGGAAGAGCACCCTGTAACAAGTTGAACATCAGCAATGCATAACCTTCAGAAAGAACATCAGCGATGCAATGAATAACCTTCAGCTACACATTGCCAAAAGGCAAAAGGTCATCCTAAGGCGCTCACACAGTAAAAACCATCGGGAAGAACCCAAAAATAATAAGGTAAATATAAAACCATATGCCAAGTAAAAATTCATCCAATCTAGCAATTACTTTATAGCCACTCACACAATTGATCCAAGAGAAGCCCCAACTCTGACGTTTAGTGAGCCGAAGCCCACTAATTTAAAGAGCAAATGCAGGCAATCTGCAAGATTCACTAGCTAGACAGAGGATGATGTGGCTCACTTGCATGCACTCTATATCTTACAATTAATCATTAAAATCATCATTCATAAGTAGCATAAAAAAATAAAAACAAAAAACAAAAAAAATCACTCACTGTGCGGCAAAAGGACCTCCTGGTAATACTTCGCAATGCAGCTTCAGATGGGTACACAATAAGCCTTCTTGGCCTCATGGCTTCGGTTAATTCCCTCAACTGCAACCTAGCAATAACATGACAATGCAGCTCGGAAAGTCCATTAAAAACAACAACATCGTCCAATTCTTCAAGCAACTTACTTTGAAACCACTTATCTGCCTGTGAAACATGTAAGTGTAAAGACAATCAGAACATAAAAATAAAAAATAAAATACACAACATAAAAAAGAGAGAAGAGAGAGATAGCGAGAGAGAGGTGATCTAGACTGCTAGATATGCCCACAGAAACACAAATAATAAATCGCTTTATTCCAACATACCTTACCTCTAAATAGGCATGGAGGAACCCGCACATATGGTCAATTGGAACGTCACAATAATGTTTCAACCTACACTTCATGGGGCGATATTGATCCTTCTCTAAACAATCGCAACACCATAAGGGGACATTATTCATTACAACATCTGAAGTCATGATAATCAACATATTGGTAAAGTCAACTTTGTCACCCTGACTGTCTGTCAGTCTACCATGCCTCAATATGTCAAGCAGAGTTTCAATAGCATGATTATTGGCCTTCTCAACATTTTCAAATAAAATAACACCAAAGGGCCTGCTCTTAACAACCTTTATGAGTTCTCCCCTGATACCATGTTCTTCATGGTTGTAGTCTCTGAGATAAAAATCAGAATTAGAGTAATATATTTAGCAAGGAAAAAGAAAGTAAGCACCATAATATAAATATGAATATATAAATATATATATATATATAACAGACTTGAATTTTAGTTACCTGGTGCGAACATCGACAAAGAATGAATCACACTGAGAACAGTGTGAATCACTGTAATCTGACATCTCAAACCTTACCAGCAGGTCCTTGCTGTCAAACAGCTCTTCGGTGAGAGCTTCAATAAACTCTGGCCTGCCATAAGGAGCACCACCAAAGAAGAGAAATGATCCAATAGGGTGATGCCGGCTTTCATGAGGCAGACAACTCAACAAGGCATTGGTGACTGCATCAATAACATGATCTTGTCCACCAAACCTCTTCCGCAATCTCTGTCCAATACCCTGCAGTGGCGGCTTTGAAGAATTAAGGAGCCATGAAGCAGGTACAATACAAGCCTCAGAAAATTCATCAGTTTCACTGCTTAAATATGTCAGAAAATGTAGAAGCCAAGGAAAATAAAGCCTTTGATAGCCTATGATGGCCTAATAATAAGAAAATGATAGATAAATATAGTCACCTCTGCAACAGTATATGGTTTAACAGTTGCATTTTCCTTGATGCGTTTGCAAGTTGAATTAACAAGGGAAGATAAATCGTCACTTAGGTCTAGAACCACCGAAGAATATTGAAACCTCTTCTTAGCAGCTTCCACCTCCTGCAAATATGAGACCAGCCCTGAGCGCAACTGTTCCATGATGAAAATTTCTTGAGCTCTTTCTGCTGATCCCTGCTGCATCAGTAGAGGCTTCCACTTTTCCACAAATCCATCCCAGAAATCCATAAAACCAATATATTCTTCTTCTACCTGGAGTAATGCCAACCAGAAACAAACAAACCACAAAAATTAATGATTCACCTATAAGCAGCACAAGTCGTACAGAATAAGAGAAAAAATTTAAAAGAAAAAGGATCAAGCACTTACACGAGGAATCCAACTTTGACTGCCCAAATCGTTTTATCTTTTGGTCTCATTTAACTCAAGCAGAGTGCGATAAAGCAAGTATTCAGCTTCATCCAGACGATTCTCTTCCATATTTACGTCAAGATCATGTCTCATTGTAGCACAGGCTCCATGCAGCAGCTCGACTGCCTTCTTTTGCAGAAGCACCATCACCTTTTGGCTGCAGTCATTTGCTTCTGCTTTGTTGGACAACAAAGCTAAACACGAAGAATTTTATAAGGAAATTTTTTTTGTTTACGACAACAATAATGCTAAGAAGAAGAAGTCATAATTGGGAGCCAACTAACCATCAGAGTATCTCACAACAATATCACAAGCAAGCATCAGAGCTTCCATTTGAATGTGAACACCATATTTCATCTCTAACTTCTGCATCTCCTTGAGTGGGATTACAACTTCTAACATCATTGTTTCTGTATCTCTTATTGTCAATTTCTAGAACATTGTTATGTCACAAACAGATGATTCGGATCAGGTACTAAAAGCTCAAAAGGCAAGCCGTAAGTCTCATTTTATCAGCAAAGAGCAACATTTAATGATCCTATTTGGTTTGCTGAAGAACCCTCCACATATCAATATCAATGCCAAATAGTTCTACGACAATTTGTATCAAATCCTAATCTACAAATAGAAGAATTAGTCCAATTCCGATGTGATATATGTCTATATACAAATGCACACGCATAAACATGCAATACACTTCAAATCCTCTACGTAAATAGAAACTTCTGGAATCTGGATTGATAATCTCAAACAAAGACATGTCAATTTCACGATACAACAAATAATAAGATCCTCCTCATTATTTTTCTAAGTTATTGAAGAATCACACATATGTATATATCATTTTTATGACAGTAATTTATTTTGCAACTGTAAGACAATTTGTAACCTATTATAATCTACAAATGAGAAAACAAATACAAAACAGCGTGTGTTGACATAAATGTGCAACTTATGCTCATATTCATAAATAAAACAATTAGACAGAACTACAGAAGAATTGAGAGAGAGAAAATGAAAACCCTAAACTTAGCTACCTTCTGAACCAGGTAATGTGTGTATATATATAGATATATACACACATGAATATTTATATATATATATATGTACATGTGAAAACCCTAATACATCATCGCCAGACACGTGCAGAAGAAGGAATACCTGTTCATTGCTCCTGCGCAGCAACGGCAACAGAGTTACCATTTTAGGGACCTTACCTCCTCTAACTCCTTAACGATGGACACACAACTTCTATTCTATCAGTGGATGAGGAGGACACGAAAACGTTATCATCGAATCAAAGGATATATGCTAGTGAGGCTGATTAGGCCTGCAGGGGCCCAAAAGTTCAAAACCAATGGCTGTGGGCCCAAAACCAATGGGTGCGGGTCCACAAAGGATCTTCTGTTGCAAGAGAAAAGTTCAAAACCAGAGGCTGTGGGCCCACAATATTCAAGAGAGACTCGTGTCCGGTGTTGGTCCTTCCCGGTCTGCCTCTAAAATTTAAACTATCTGGTGTTTATACTAAACCTTGTATATCCTAGGCCCAACTTATTCAAATTTGATATGGGACAAAAATCCGTGATATTTTTCCCTGCTGTAACTCGCAATGCCTTTGTGAATTGTGATTGATCCACTTTGTCTAACCACCCCTCCAAGTGGGTGCTTGGTGTAAGCCCGTATCAATGATTGGGCCTGTTCTGATACCATTTGTCATGGATAAGGTGTTTTGTGATTTGAATCAAAAGCTTAATTTATTGTGAGGCTAATAATTATATACACCCAAAAGTCAAAACCCCCCATCCCAATTTGACATAGGACAAGAATTTATGACATTTGACATTTTAGGAGATGATTTTGTATGTCAACTACAGTGTAAAAGATTTATATTGATAAAAACTATCACCACCTTAATCACACAGTTCGCGTTTGAGGGTCATGCTCTCAAGCTCCGCATGCGAATCGACGGATTGAGAGCGAAATTGTACAAAATTTGTGAATTCATTTTTCTAAATTCGCGAACTCGTTTTTTGAATTTACGAATTCAATTCTTGAAACCGCATAATCATATTTGTTCTTCTCATGCAGCTCTTGCCCCTTTACTAGACCGATTTGGGCTTTCATTCAGTCCAAATGCAAATTTCAGGTCGTTCATCTTCCTTGGGAGAACTTCATCAGTTGAGCATCGCACCATTGGAGAGGTCGAAATATGCAGAATTCAACTAACAAACTAATACTCACTAGATTGAGGTTTGAGTATTATGATTTGTAGATGATTGAAGAGTACATACCTTCCTCTTCACTGTTATCAATCGGATCTGGACAAGGCTGCTTTCTATGCGAGTGACTTTGTCTTCACAAGGAGACTCATCCACGGAGCAAGATTGAGCGTTGGAGGCATTTCCTTCTGTTCTAGAATGTTGAGTAACTTTGCACTATATAATACTGTAAATTGTCTTTTGTTTTTTGGACCAACCGTGGATTGGGGTGGGCTTTTGGCATAGCCATCTAGGTTTTGGGTTGGGCTTTAGTCATAGCCCTTCGTTTTTGTTCATATTTTGGCTAGGCTTTTGTCCTGTGTATATTTTTAATTCATAAATAATATATATATATATATATATATATATATATATATGAAGTATATTTACTACTCCATAAAGTTTATTTAATCAAAGTAATAATGACTAAAAATTTGATTATTTTTGAATAATTTCATAATAAGACTAACAAAATATAATATTTAATAATTAAAAATGATAATATATTAAGTGAAATAATTACATAAAAATAAATATACAGACGCTCTCGCAGCGCTCCCGCTCTCAACTAATTTTAAATTTGTTGCTCTCATGCTCCTGCTCCCGCTTTATGTGACTTTGATCACCACACATCTTAAAAGTTGTAAACTCGAATGTCCTTAAATCACCTCTGGGTAGAATAATTTTTTAGATAATTTTCAATGTGAGAATGGCATGTGCAGATGTACTCAAAATGTACAAAGTCTATATTGGCAATAACTAAGTTATAGCTACTGTCATATTAAATAAAATTTTCAAGTGATGGTTTTGAGACTCTAACTTTGCATCTCACTTCACGGGAGTTTAAAATTAAACCAAAAACAATAGACATAAAAATCTTTAGTTACACAAATGTAATTAGCATAAGTTAAAATAGAACATCTTGTTTCCCCCCCCACCCCCCCCCCCCCCCCCCCCCCCCCCCCGCCCAAAAAAAAAAACAAAAAAACATAGATTTGTCTACACCATTTGCCTCTTGTATGGAGTGAGTGTAGACCAACTAACTCGTGAAGGGCGCGGCCCCCACCCCAAAAAAAAAACATAGATTTGTCTACACCATTTGCCTCTTGTATGGAGTGAGTGTAGACCAACTAACTCGTGAAGGGCAAAAGAGATAAAAAAGAAGAAATGAACAATTGACTGCCAGTGCCAGTTTAGATCCTGTTCCGGATATATATATATATATATATATATATATATATATATATATATATAATGGTGCAGCATAAGTTTACAATGTGATACAAATGCCATTGTGAAGAAAATCATTTGTATTAATTATTAAGCAAATAACATATGTATATAACTTTATAGCCTTTTTTTAGTTCAATTAATATGTTATGGAAAAGTAAGCTTGATAATAATTTATTTATTTATTTTTCATTGGTAAAAAATTTACACACGTCACTCACACACCCACTTTGTTTTTTTGAAAATTTAAAACATTACCATCCACTTTTAAAATAGAAGAAATATCACTAAGTCACAAAATCTTTAGTAAAATGAGCTTGACATAACTTGACCCATGTCATACACGTATTTCACTAGCAATTAATCAAAACAAATGTTGCCTTCAAATAGAAATGGATATCTTAAAATTTAATTGAAGAAAATTTAGTTATTTAATTTTAGTTTGGAGGCACTGATTGGAGCCATAAAATATGACTAAAGTGTAATTTGACACTAATTAATACAACCATGCTTATTTATAATTTTTTTTTTTTTTTTTTTTTTTAGTACAAAGATGAGGGGTGGCAAATTATCACACGATATGAAAACATGACATGAGTTAAATAGATTTAGGTTTAGCATAAACGAGTTTGGATCATAAAAAGGTCGACACGATTAACCTGTTTACTTAACCGTGTCGGGTTAGGGCTGAGAGGTTCAACCCGTGTAACCCGTTTATGACCCATTTAACTCAATATGTTGTAATCGTGAATATGACCTATATAATATGTTACCGGTTTAAACCCAATTACTATGGATAGTTAAGTCATTTCAACATAAACCTTGTCTATGACTTATGATTTTTCTTTTTATTTTGAATATTTTAGTTAATTATGATAATTTTTTTTTCTATTATTTAGTATTTGATTAAATATTAAATGTCTCGTTTTGATAAATAGATCATTAAATGGGTTAACACATTTACTTGTTTAATAAATGAGTTGGGTTAAAGTTGAGAATTCTTGACACGATTATTAAATGAGCTGGGTTTGAATTTATTTATTTAGTATAATACACTTATATCGATACGACACGAATACGACCCACGAACACAAATTGCCACCCCTAACAAGGATGTCGAATCTCAATGGCTAAAGTGCCTGTAATTTGACACTAGCTAATTAATGCAAACATGTTCCATCTTAGTCCAATTGAGTCACCTTGTTCAGCTATCTTTTTTAATTACATGTTTTTTTTAAAAGGGTTCTCCCTAGTAACATAATACTAACATAACAAACTTTGGAACATAAATTCAAAATGAATTTAAAGCAATAACATCATCAAATTATTTATAAAACCCATTCTCGGTGCTACAATGCAAGGGTTAATAAGTCCCGAGTTTGAAATTTGAACCTTCAGTGACAAGATATAAAATAATAGCATTTACATCATTTAAAGGGAAAAGGAAATGATTTAAAAAAATCTTGATTGTGTTTCCTCAAAATTTTCCTATGTTTGATCATTGTTTAAACAAATTTAAAAGAAAATTAGTCTCTCTTTTTTTTTTTTTTTTTTTTTTAAGAAAAGAATATTATAGTCCAATGCTAATCACGAGGAGATTAGCTAAGTAGAGGGAAGTAATTTTAAATTTTTTATTTATATTTTACTTTAATAAAATTATATTAAAAATTGTAGCATCGATTTATATTGTTCCCAATTTATATTGTTATGGGCTATTAGAAATTTTAATTTCTCACTCTTTTTGTCACAATGAAGTAGGTTATTATTTATTTATTTATTTACAATGACAAGAAATGCACTTATTTACATACTAATGTTGTTTGACTAAAGAGATATTCTCAGGTAATTTTGGTGTAGCATATTGTTATGGTAGGACTTCTTAGGTATCAAATCAAACTAGTTATAAGATTTATATGTATATATATATATATATCAAACAAATCCTTCATACGTGCCTTATTTTATTCTAAAATCTCATCAACCCTCACTAAGAGCAGTCACAGGCTATAATAACAAAACCCCAGAGGCTACGTTTGGATGGGATGATTTGGAAGGATAGGAAAAGAAAAGAAAAGAAAGAATAGGGATTAAGTGTGTGTTTGAGTGGTTTAACATGAGAGAAAAGAAATGATAGGGAGAGATAATTATCCCTCATTTTCTATCTCTCAAAAAATGAAAAGATGGGGGGAGAAATGATAATGTTTAAGTAAAATTTTCATAACCCCGAAACTGCCTTCAACAATTAAAAAGTGAAAATTATTATTCCACTCATATCCTTTCTATTTAAAAGGATATGGTAGTAATTTGGTTGTTATCATTTCTCTTCTTTTCTCCCCTCTATCATATCCAAACAAGAATAATATCTTTTCTTTTCTTTACTCTTTTATCCATCCAAACATAAATAGAGATTTTGCTATCCTTTTTTTCCTTTTCTTTTCTCTCATAAGTAATACTATCATTTCTTTTCTTTTCTCTCCTATATATCCAAACAAAGCCTGATAAAACCTCTACATCCAAAATTAGATAGTGAGAATCATGGAATTCACCGGTCCAAGGAAGACACCGATCTTCCTCTTTCTCCTCCACTTGCGTCTCTACCCGCAATCCCTCCTCCACTATCTCCACCCGTATTTCCTCCTCCACTACCACCACCCCCTTCGAGGTGCCATTTATGCTCCCAACCCATTTGTCATGGTACTATGAGGGTAGTGTCAAATATTGCCATCATCAATACCATGTTGGTTGCCTGTGATCTATTTTGGAGCATTTTACCAA